CAGTACAAAAAATAATACTTTTGAAAGAGGAGAATTACTACAAATCAATTCAAGTATGTTAAGCCATAAGCCAAAGGAAAAAGTCAATCATAAATAACATTATATTTATAAAAAATAAGAAACTACCAAGCATTGAAACAAAAACAATATAAAGTAGTATTCACTATACAGCAAAATTTATACTGTAAGACGAAGCCAAGTAGTTGGTGAATTACAATTGTAAGACATGCGTTTTGCAGCAGCTCACAATAAATTTAGCCTGTGTCACCATCAAAAGTAAACTCAATATCATTGCACAAATTGCCTAGCCTCTCGTGCACATCTGTTCAAGATGTCTATAGAAAAATGATATCGTTCTGCCCAGCTACAGGCCGAGGAGAATGCGCTGCCTAGTTTCGTGTCTCCAATGCTGAGCAAAAAAGCAGCTCCAATAAAAATATCAGTGGCAGGGATAATTCCAGTTCAATAAAGGCCTGGAGGAAATCATATAAAATAATACTCGCTGTCTGCTTATTTTGCCGTATCTTTCAACAAATTAGAATATGCATAATAACACGATACCTTTTGACATGCGAGTATCTAATTAAGAAGGCTAAATGAATGCCAGAAACTGTCTGGACCTCTCCATGCCACCAATGGACCACTAGTACAAGTCCACACAATCAAGGCATATTTCCAGAATGGATTTTCACCACTGAAAACAATAGCAGTATTCAGTAGGTTTCTTTCTATAAAAGTGTCTTGGTAGGATGCAACTTACAAAATACAGGCAGCCAAACATTCTGTTAGCCACTAAAATGTACATGATCCCAATGTGGTAAATCTAAGTCACAGTAGACAGTCAAAATAACCCCAAGTCAACGCTGTCCAGTCCACAGCCTTCGGCTAAGCCTTGCCACCCGTATTGCTTTCCTTCTGCTATAGTAACATAATGCATAGATTTTGGTTTACATTCACAAACATGGTCATACTTCTTCGCCGACTATGTACATAAGCAGGAATAAAGTCTGAGTTGACTAGCCTATCCAGCATCCTAATGTTTTGATACACAAAAAATTTGAGGAAATCATCAGCAAAAAGCCAATACATAGCCTGAGTTACACATGCCGCGAGGCAAGTTTTTTTGAACACATGAACAATAAGCGGGCCATGGTTGTGATACCCATGAGGAACACAGTATGAATCATCAAAGAGAACTGAACCTGCCAAAAAGCCGAGACAAATTGTTTCCTCCCTTGCACGTATACTTCATAGCCACGGATAACATAGGGATCAGCCCAACTTAGGCACTTTCTCTAGGGATAATTTATTGTGATTTCCGTGGGCTCTAATGCCTTTGCAAAATCACGTATATTGATTACATCAACCTGACCATCATCGAGGGCCTTCTCACAAATGAGATCAAAATGAGAATAAGATGAGTGTTGATAAGTGCGTGATAAGTGCTTGGTGAATCTTGCTGGTCAGAAAGCGATGTGGAAAATCAGATAGATTAAAATCAATTGCTAAGAATGAGATTGAAAACGTAAAATCTTCTTGAAGAGAGCTGAGAAATAGAGCTTTGCAATGGATAATGTGATGATAGATGGAAATGCTTTATTTTTACCATTTATCTTGACAACGAAAAAAATTGGCTTGTTTTTTATGCAAAATACTTTATAGAATCCGCTTAACACTTCTCATTATTAACATTTCCAAGTTTGCAATTGAGGCTGCGCAGCAATGTTCAGGTCTTCAGCGTCATGTATGCTATCATAAAACAATCAAGTCTGGCTAAAGCCAAAAATTACACTATGTGTATTTAGAGGTATTACTTTAATTGAAAAGGGCGAAAAAAATAACACAAAAAACTCTGCATTACCAACAAACACACATGGTGCCAATTGCCCAAAGGCGACCAAATGCCAGAATATGGCCCTATGAAGTTCAATGACAGTTATTCTTTCTCCTTACCTAGTGTTTTCCTCTACCCAGCTTACCTCATAAAATAATGAACAGATAACAATTAAAAATAATAATTATCCAATGCGTTATGGATAGCCTATAAAATAACAATAGTCTGGTTTGCAGCACTTTTTATAGTTTGGTCTTCGTTTGTTTGTTTGTTTATGTAAGTCAGTACTTGGACTGTCTTTTCTTACAAAGCTTCAACAGAATTATACGACCTAAAACTCGTTGTAACCACAAAAACAAGTTGCAACTGGCAAAACTAGCTATTTCTTGATAGAATACCCTGAACTGCTAACAAAAATTTCCACAAAACTATACATGTTACAGTAGTTATATGTTTTATAAAAACTACATAATACTAAATAAAAACTACATGTACAGTAGTATATGTTTATAAAAAACTACATGTTACAGAATATATGGTTGATCTGGGTCAACTGCATGAAACAAAGTCAATATTACAAAATTTTTTGTTCCAAATATTCTAAACTGAATATTGCCAAGTCTCTTACAAGATTAATAATTTAGCGTTGACCCTTTGTTCAGAAATTATGCCTTCTAGTCTATAGTTGTGACTTTTATTTACAGGAGGTTGCAGAAATAATTTGGTGTGCAGTTGGGACTGGTTTGTATGCTTTGGATCTTCTCAAATATGCGACAGTATTAGGAGTTATCAATAGTTTTGGAGAGATGGTATGGCTCTCTTGTCTTGGCCCTCTTCTCCACAGAAGATATACTTTACTCAGTATTATTAAAGCTGGTATTAGACATTTTAATTGCTGTTTTTTATGCAACTATTAAATGCAGTTTCGTTTCAGAACACATAGTACAGCAACATTGATGCATATAATAGATTTTCCTTAAGCAAATAGCAGTGTTATTATAAACTAAAATTAATATAAGCATATTAATAATATATATGTAGTCGAGCTAACTTTTAGTGAAATGCAGACCCCAGGGGAAAAAAAACTTGAATTAATTTCACACATTATATTAATACAAATACAAAGTATATTATGCCACATAACAATTTATTTATCTATATTAAAAAACCTCGATATTCAGTATAAATTCAAGCTTGTACTATAGCTGCTAAAAAATGTAACTTAAAATAATTGAAAATTATATTTTAAATACATTATGTTAACAATGATAGTAAAATTTACATAAGAAATACATTTATTTATAAAATTTTTTAAATAAATCCATTAAAATTATATAATTCCAACTATAAAATTTTCTAATTCATTATTGTCTGAGGGAGATTCAATCTAGTGCGGGCTAAGGCCTAGCGATGATCGGTAGATTTTCCATTGCTTCTCGCATCAACACCTCAGCTGGGCGAATGTTTGTAGCAGTACCCTAACAAACGGGCCACATGACCAAGACAATTTTCCTGCCTCTTACCTGATTCTATCCTTACCCTTACACACACCACTTACACTAACCATGCACTAGACTACCACACAATTCTGGAGACAGGTCGGGACTATAGAGCTACGAACCGGTGGTTGGTGGTGCCCAAGTTGGTGGTAGGAGATACCTTGTTGACGGAACCCTATACCTGATGGTACCTCTGCACCGTGATTCTTGCCATCCAGATAGTGGGAATCACAACCACCACTTCCGCCCTCCTGATGAAAACATGAACTACACTTATGGAACTTTACGACCTCAGCTAGTTGACCACACCTGGAATCACTTAACACCAATCTAATTTGTAGCAATTCTAAAACGGTGTTATCTGAAGCTTACTGCGCCCTAACCTTTTGTTTATTGCCACTGTATATATGCATTAATAATTTAGCTGCAATAAATATTCTTTATATTACAGCAATGCTCCATTAATGTTATGGTAGTTGGTTTTTTTGTTTTTGTTTTTTTGTTTTGTTTTTTTTAGCTCATTCTGTATAAAAATTACCAGAGAACAAATGTAGTTTATATTGAGATTATATTGAAGAGGGCCTCTGAAAAAATCCTTCTATTTGCCTTATAATTTCATTTTGTACATATCAATGT